TTTCTTTTTGTCACGTTTTAAATAGGAAATGTGCACTGTGGAAGAGCCTAATGAAGAATTCACCTCAAGGCACAGCTTGGAGTGGAAGTTTCTCTTCTTGGATCACAGGCCAGTGTTTTTTTTGTGGTTTTTTTTCTTTCAGGTAGTTTTTCAAAAATGCGTTTGTATGTATCCATGAAACTCTGTGTCACAGGGAGGGAGTCACTCACTGAGCATGCCTGCCGTTTGAACATCTTGCCCCCTGCTCCTTCGAGCTCTGCAGCCGCTTGCTGCCTTTGTTGTGAGCGTGAAGGATTTTAGACGTGGTTGTTTTGAAAGTGTGCCTTGCACTGAGCTGCAGCAACTGTTGCGGATGTAAAACAGCTCCAGGAGTCGTGGGATGTGGCTTCTCTAAAAATTCCTTTGTGACAAAAAACCTCTTAAATGGGGGGTGTATCTGTTTTACGCTCTTTCTCTCTGTTTTGTGGATGCAGGGCTCCTCCAATAATCGGCTACTTGCCGTTTGAGGTTCTTGGCACATCTGGCTATGATTACTACCATGTGGACGACCTGGAAACTCTGGCAAAATGCCACGAGCACTGTAAGTAGATGAGGTTGCGTGCTGCCTGCAGAGGAACACGGCAACACATAAATATTTTAAACGCTTTTCTGTTTGAAGGTAACAGGCTTTAGAACGAGGTCTGCCCCTTATAACAGTCAAATATCTGTGGCGTGTTTAATGTTTTTTTAAACATTCTGAAACGTTTTCAGCATGTTTTTGGAAGCTGCGTAGCTAGCCTGGATTTTTCCGGGCTCTCCTTTGTTTTGAGGATCAATTTTGTGTTCTGAGATTTTGAGCTTTAGCGTCCCTGAGTGAGGTGACATCTTCTCTAAGGCGCTGCTAGTTTATGCAGTAAGTATCAGCTGGACTACCGAAATGGCACACCGCGGATAATTGCAGTGCAAGCAGCTTTAATTTAATTAAAACACTTCTCCTAGTGTCTTCATTAGACAAAAGGAGGTCATGCTTTCATTTGGCCCTTAAAAGCAATCAATAAATCAAAGTTTATTTATCAAATGCGCAACAATACAGAGTGCAGCAGAAATTGCTGTCAATGAAATGTCTTTTCTACGAGCTCACCGGGCGGGTTAAAAATCACCAAATTAAAATGACAAAATAAGGTTACATAATAATAGTGCAATAGAAATTGAATAAGATAAACACAGACAGAACTCAATATAAACAGAGCTGCTATGTGCCCAGGGTGTATGCAATACGTTATTGCAGAACCAAGCACTCAAAATTCACTCTCTTTTTCATCAACAGAGGATACCCCACCCATGTTATTGACAGGGCCCTCATCCGAGCCAAAAACTGCCCCCGGACCATCAATTCGATCAGGAACCCCCGGCCTACCAAGCGCATTCCTTTGGTGCTTCCCTTCCACCCTAACACACTTTCTATCCCCAGGACCATTAACGGCAACTTTTCCATCTTACAGGCTGATCCCTCCACTGGTACCTTCTTTTCCGACCGCCCCATCATCGACCACCTAATCTGTGTAACCTTCTTGTTCACAGCTCCCTTGATCACCCTCAACAATCATCCACACCAGGTACTTTCCCCTGCAACAGAGCTCGCTGTATCACCTGCAAGTACACATCTAACACCACACTCATTCAAGGCCCCTCAGGACCATTCCGGATCACCCAGGTGACCTGTTGTACCTCCAGAAACCTCATTTACTGTATCTCTTGCAGGAAATGCCCAGCTATCTACATTGGAGAAACCGGAAGGAGACTAGGAGACCGCTTCAGGGAGCATGTTAGGGCTGGGAAGATTAAAGATTTCTCCAAACCCATAGTTTCTCATTTCACCTCAGACAGCCATCACACTGATCTCTCTGTCTCTGTTCTCAAAGAAGGGGTTCTCAACTCCCACAGCAGAAAGACGTCAGGAACAACAATTATCCTGAAACTTGGTTCACGCCTTCCCCCTTCTCTCAATGACAGACTTGTTTTCGTGTGATCTCCATTCACATGCAGGTTTCGACTTCACCCCTCTCTTCACCTCTCTCCACTTCGCACCACCTGAGTGGCCTCTCTGCCTCTCCCCTGCTCCCGCCTCCTCCCCTCTCCCAGCTTTTGTTCTCTGGTGCTATTTAATCTTTGCTGTCTGCCCTGTCTTTCTCACACCCAAAGAGGCCTCCACAGTCAAAACGTTGTGTTTTCTTTCTACTCTTTTCAGCATGGAATAAACATTTTACTTGTTCCTTTGCAATACATTATGTCCAAGTAGTGTAGTATGCTGTATACAATGAACACTGTGTGTCTATGTAGCCATTACAGTGATTTGCTAAAGGAACTGCTGGTTGGCTGTTTAGCAGTCTTACTGCCTGGAGGTAGAAGCTGTCCCGTAATCTGCTGGACTTTGACCCAATGCTTCGGTACCGTTTACCGGACAGAGGGAAAACAGTTTGTGACTGGGATGACTGGGGTCCTTGAGAATGGACCTGGCCTTCCTTAGACATTTCGCTGAGTAGATCTCCTGGATGTTTGGTAGCTCACAGCCGGTAATGAGCTGTGCTGACTTCATCACCCTCTGCAGTACTTTGCGATCCCGGGTGGAGCAGCTCCCACACCAGTCAGGATACTCTCAATAGGATACTCTCACCTGTAGGCGCTGGCCTGGATATGTGACGGCATGCTGAACTTCTTTAGCCTGCGGAGAAAGAACAGGCGCTACTGTGCTGTCTTGACCACGATGTTGGTGTGCTGGGTCCAGGTTAAGTCCTCTGTGATGTTAACTCCCAGGAACTTAAAACTGCTGACCCTCTCCACTGCAGTCCCATTGATGTAGATAGGTGTGTGATCTCCTCCCCGGTGTTTCCTGTAAGCCACGATCATCTCCTTAGTCTTACTGATGTTCAGAGAGAGGTTGTTTCAACCTCCTCCCTGTACGCAGACTCTTCACCATCTGTGATCAGGCCGATGACTGTTGTATCGTTCACAAACTTAATGATGGAGTTTGAGTTATGCCTGGCGACACAATCATGGGTAAATAAGGAGAAGAGGAGAGCGATAAGCGCACAGCTAACAGGGGGCTCCAGTGTTGAGTCAGGGTAGAGGATATGTTGGTGTCCACCCTCACCACCTGCAATCATTGGGTGAAAACGTACAGTAAGTCCTCCACACTGCCTTCAGGCCATGTGAGGTCAGATGAAGTCAACCAGGAATCCCAGCAGTCCAGAGTTAGGCTCACGAAGAGCTTCACTCAGGCTTGGTTCACCAGAAGCGTTGTGTTACTTGTGACCTTGTGGACTGAAGCAGAGCCAAGAGTTGCTGGAAAATCTGACTGACAAGGTCTTAATCAATTTTTAATCGCATTCGTTTGTGTTGTCATATCGCGTGTTATATTTTTACATGTGAATAATTAACATCGGTTAGCGAGCGGCTCTGTCATTTTTGCCCTTCCTCTTGCTGAAAGGTGTACTGGTGTTAAATAGAGCGTGGTTTTTTTTTCTTTTTCCCCTGAAGCTTGGTAAAGTCTGTGTCAGGTGCGTTCATGTGGAAGCGTTTGTAGGTCTGGATGACAGGAGACCGGTGCTGATGTCAAGCTCAACTCGCGTACGTTCTGTCTTCTAGTGATGCAGTATGGGAAGGGAAAATCCTGCTACTACAGGTTCCTCACCAAAGGGCAGCAGTGGATTTGGCTCCAGACGCACTACTACATTACCTACCACCAGTGGAACTCCAGGCCCGAGTTCATTGTCTGTACACACACTGTCGTGAGGTAAAGACCAGGCTCTGCACAGACAGGGGGCTCCTTGTGCCCTAGGAAAGAGCCTTCTTCGTGTTGTCAAGTAAAACAGGACACGGTGAAGCTTAAGGACCGTGTTGCATTTGTATACAGAAGACAGCACTGCTCCCTAGACGGCTGCGCTGCCCGATACCCAAGCTAGAGTTTTAATATTTCATGTTCGTGTAGAAGTTGCTCGTGTTTGTGGCGCGCTTCGGGAAACGCGGTACCTGCCGTGCCTCGTGCGCGGTGCAAAAACCCGGAGGGGAGACGGGTGAAACAGGACTGTGCCGCAAACGCTGTCTGTCTCGGTGTCCTGCAGCTACGCCGAGGTGAGGGCCGAGCAGCGGAGGGAGCTGGGAATCGAAGAGTGCGCTCCGGAGATCGCTGCCGATAAGGTCAGCTGCTTTGCGGCGACGCCTCCTTCCGAGAGGGAGGGAGGGAGGGATACGGCATCCCGGGAATAAAACGGGACTGGAGCTTGTTTTCGTCGCGGATGACATATGTATCACCGAGTCATGATTATGTTCACTACACATAGTACAGTGTACGCTGTAGGTGTTCTTCTGAAAGTCTCGCTGAGACATGTAACACTAGACATTAGATCCATTAGATCCGTTCAGTTTGCCGATGGGAAACCTGCGTGATAAATGTAGCTCCCCTGATCTGTTGCTCTCTGCTTGCTGGCTGTTTACCCCGAGATACACTATGAGAAAAGTCAGTGTGCCTGGCTTGAAATAAACACCCACCTGTTAATAGGCATGCGTTTAACGCTTTGAACCTCTACAGGCTGCTGGCAAGCACCCAGAATAAGCTGGGTTTAAAAAAAAAAACGTGTTGTTTCTTTCGTTTCCTCTTACCCAAGCTGTCTGTCCTTGCGCAGAGCCAGGACTCTGGGTCCGACTCCCAGCTGAACACGGTCAGTCTGAAAGAGGCCCTGGAGAGGTTTGACCGCAGCAGGACTCCCTCGGCCTCGTCGCGGAGCTCCAGGAAGTCCTCTTCCCACACCGCTGTGTCCGACCCCACCTGTAAGTGTCCCGGGAGCCTGAGCTCGTGTGCCGCTCCCAGGAGCGAGTCGGAATGCGGGGTCAGAGGTCGCCTGACGCTCCAGCTTCTCACTGCCCAGTCTTGGCCTCTATGTGCTGGAGTCCTAGTTTGAATTGTCCAGTTCAGAAGAGGTCCTGAGAGTTTGCTATACAGTCCTCCTGTGGCGTCCAGGCACTGAGGCGGTGAAAGTAGTCCTGCCTGTCCAGCGGTCTGTGCGGCGCGGTGGGGTCCCTGCCCTGGCGGGCGCTTCATCTGTGCGGGCATGGGATACGCATTGGTCCCTGAGCTCGTCTGAATCATCTGATCATCCAGGGATTATACAGATATGAGCACAGATTGCTCTCCGACTTCTGCATTAACCTTCGTTTTAGGTGTGCCTCATTTTAGGCGTTTTGGTGTATCCATGCTTTCACTGGCTGGAGGAGAAATATAACAATGAATATGTATATATGCACGTCCTTCATTCATCTAAGTCTGGTCTCCTGTCTGTCCCCCAAGCCCATCTACATTCTGTGGGTGACAGTGCCTTCTCCGGCTGCGCCCCAGAAACTCTGGGCTCCTGTCCCCAAGGATATCGGGAGTCACCTGCCCTGAGCACATTCCAGTCCAGACTCAGAACCTTCTTTAGAAGGGCTTTTATTTAACTGGTTCTGTATCTGCGCCTCTGCGTTCCCACTACATCCCTCAGTCTAATTGTTCAGTCCTGCTGTCTCCTCTCATTGTGTCCTTTTTTCCTTAGTGTGAAGAGCTTTGAGAAGCCCCTTGAAAGTCACTATTATTATTATTATTATTATTATTATTATTATTATTATTATTATAAACTACGCTATGTTCAGCTGCGTTCCTCTTTTCCTCAGCAACTCCCACCAAGTTACAGACGGAGACCAGCCCCCCCCCGCGGCAGCCCCTGCCCTCGGCTGTGGAGATGACCTCGCAGAGACGGTCGTCCGTAAGCAGTCAGGTGTGTACCCGTCCCCCACTCTGTCCCCTCCGTCCTGTCGCGGGGAGACACACAGTCTCCCAACAGAGTGCCTGTTGGAGGGAAGGGAGGTGGGGTCACAGTTTAACACTGAAAGGGAGTCACGAGCGGGCAGTAGGGAATGCGTCTTCGCACGCAGAGTGGTGGGGGTCTGGAGCGGGTGTTCCTAGGTGGTTGAAGCCCAAGCTCTGGGCTCCTTCAAGAGCTGACTGACCAACACTTTAGACTCACTACCAGCACTAAGCTTCCCAATGAGCAAGATGGGCCAGCCGGTCTCCTCTCTTTGCAAGCTGTCCTTTACTCTGAGGCGCTAAACATGATCACTGGCTCACACGAAGGTCTTGTGTGATTTAAAAGACCTGTGGACACGGAATCTGCTGTCCAAGAGGAGTCGTCAGCAGCCAATACAGGTAAACTGCTGCTGGCAGAAGTGAACCGTGTTTCAGAGTGTGTAGCACAGTCTTCGGAAACACAGAAGTGTTAGTTTTGTGAAAAAAATATCTGAAGCTCTTTACATACGTTAAGAAAACAACTGTCAAGTACAAACTGTGTGCATATAAAAAAGAAGAAGGAAAACTGTTGGCTTTAAGAAATAATGCTTTTCTTGATTCTTGAAAATGCTAGCCCTTACTGTTCAGAAAATAATTTTTCCAAGTTACTGAATGTTCGGTTCACATATAATTACACGATGGACAAATTGTAAGTCACATTAGGGTTGTGGTCTTACAGGCAGATGATAAAACTGCAGAATGTTAACACTTTGTTTGCTGCTTCCTGTAAGTAACGAGACAGTATTTCCCTTTGACGCTGAGTGGGAGTTGTTTTTCAGTTCCGTTTTCTTTTTTCCCGTTTGAATTTTCCAGCAGTCGATGAGTTCCCAGAACACTGGCCAGACTCTGGGCCCGTCCGTGATCGCTCCACAGCCCGCGGGCCTGCAGATCCAGCCCAGCATGTCGCAGGTGAGGACCTACTGCCCCGGCGCAGCTCTGCAGTAAACTGTGGCAGGACAGAATTGCCCCCTCGGGGCTATTGCCATTAATGTGAAAGATAATGACAGTGACTGCCAGCGTGTCGTCGACATGAGCTCTGTAATCGTTGGGTCCGTTCGTTTGTAATTCTCTTTCTGTGCTGCGGTCCACCGATTTTGATACTGATGTTCACAGCTGGCTCTGCTGTCTCACGTGACCCTGCGTTAACTTTGGCTTAGTCCATGTTGCAGTTCTCGGCCCAGCTGGGCGCCATGCAGCATCTGAAGGACCAGCTGGAGCAGAGGACGAGGATGATCGAGGCCAACATCCAGCGGCAGCAGGAGGAGCTGCGCAAGATTCAGGAGCAGCTGCAGATGGTGCAGGGCCAGGGGCTGCAGGTAACTGCTCTGCGTGTGACGCGGGAGGGGGTGCACAGCTAGGGGAACCGAACAGGGGGGTTTTGATTTTTTTTAAATGCTTTAAATGCAAGGAAACTTTCTGACTGTGTTCCTCTTGAGCTGTGATCACATTCTGCTCGTAATATGGTACTTACTGGAGGAAAGTATTCCCTGAAAGACATGAGAACAATAGAAACAGCTCTAACAACTGTGAAATATTTTTTCTAAAATCGGTAATTTGCTCATTCAGGAGGGTTTAATTTTCCTTCCTGTTTCCCCTCTTACAGTGTGTTTACTCACTCCCTCTGTCTTCCCTGGTCGTTTGAGAGCACTGTGTTATCCGCAGCGTACACTAGCACACAGTGGTAAAGCTCGGCCCGTTTTCTAGCTTGGCCCAGCCAGCGTGTTTGGCCTGGCGAAGGCCGGTCACCGCTGCTCTCAGAGAGCACAGCAGGCTCCGCCTGGGTCTGCCGCGCCCGAGGGTGGGCACGAGTCGGCCCGAGAGCCCCTGCTCCAACCTGGAGCACCTGGTACCCAGGGGGAGTGGCTGTCATTGCTGGGTCTGCCAGGGCAAGGAGGGCAGGTGTGTCGCTGCGCCGAGCAGGCCCTGCGGATGAGAAGAGGGCTGTCCGAGCCCAGGCTGTGTGTTGGGTGGGGTTAAGGACCGCTCGGGGCAGGTCGCAGGCACATGCGCGACCCTTCGAGTGGAGTGTCCCCCGTGCTCTTCAAGGGAGAGCCCTGGTGGTGTGAGCAACTCCCGCCTTCCTCTCGATGACGGTCTTAGAAAAAAACTACTTGTGAAAGAACAGTTCTTGAACGTACGAATTGCAGGAATCTCGTTAAAGCACCTTATAGTATTTGATCTGAGCAATATTCGCTTCCATAACAGTAATCTCGTTAGCCGACATAACCATCCTCCTTATTAAAGACATTAATGTGAAAAGATGCTGAATGTTTTACGAAAAGAAACATTATTTTGTCAGCTTTTGAGCTAAGTTTGCTTCGGTTTTCCTTGGGGAATCGAGACTTTCAGAATCTTCCATCCAATCAAAACGTCTGATGCTCCCCAACAGAAATAAGCTAGAATACTAAAAGATTTACACAGAATAAGAACTTGAACCAACTTGAAACTAATCGGGAAGGTACTTCAGGTGTATCCTGCTCCGGATCCCATGAGCTCCTTGGCTGTGATGTAGCTGTGCGGGAAGCTCTGGATAAAAACCCTCTTCTGCTTTTCTGTCTTGAATCTTTGAAGATGTTCCTGCAGCAGCCTGCCGGCGGTCTGAACTTCGGCTCCGTGCAGCTGGCCGCTGGGGGCTCTCCCGCCGTGCCGCAGGGCCCCGCCGGCCTGGCCCAGGGCGCGCTGGGCGCCGGCCACATGGGCACGCAGCACGCCCTGCAACCGCCGCCGCTCCGGGAGCAGAACCCCGCGCTCGCGCCGGTGAGTCCGCCCGCGGGACTGCTGAGGCGTGTGCAGGCTCTGTTCCCGCCTCCCCGGCGTTCTTCTCGGGATGTGGGGATGTGTGTGAGGGAGAGCCGCGCGTGTGGGCGCCTTCCTCTGCATTTCCACCGTTAATCCCGTTCCCTTGTTCTCTTCTTGTCCCGCGATCCTCCAGCAGCCCCAGCAGCCGCTGCGGACGGCGCACAGCCAGCAGCCCTCCCTGCCCAGCCACGCGCAGAGCGCGCTCGCCCCCTCGCTCTACAACACTATGATGATCTCCCAGCCCGGCCCCCCGAACGTGCTCCAGATCGCCTCCAGCCTACCCCAGAACACCAACCCAAGTGGGACTGTGGCCACTTTCTCTCAGGACAGGCAGATCCGGTAAGGAGCTTATCCGAACAGGCTCCGTTCAGCTCTTAACATCTTACAGAGGCTGATTTGGCAAAGCAGGCGCCCAGTAAGAAAATAACTTGTGTTGCTTTCAGTGCTTTTCAACTGTGTAAAGTCTGATCTTTAAACCTGAGATTCCCAAATTTTCCTTTTATTTCTCCTAAGGTCAGTGGAAACATTAGTTTTCCTCTGTCTTTGTTGAATCGAGGAGCTGACAGCTTTCTTCTGTGTGAACAGGTGACATCAAAACAGAGAGTGCATTCATTGTTTCTGTGCAAATGAAAGGACTAAAAATTCTCCAGCAAGAAAAGTGTTAATGCTTGTTCTGTGTAAATAAGTGTTGTTTAAAACTGCTCTCACACAGTTTGTGTGAACCATGTGATTGAAAAGGCATTCTAGCATTCAGCAAATGCAACGTTATAAGAGTTTTGTTTAATTTGAGGTGACTAATTTGGCAAGTTGTGCTTTTAGAGTCAGAAGCTGCATCAGCATGCATAGGCTGCAAAGGAACAAGTAAAGGTTTATTCCATGTTGAAAATAGGAGAAAGGAAACAGCTTTTCTGTTGCCCTGAAGAAGGCTCCACAGCCGAAACACTGTTTCTTTTCTTCTGTTTTCAGCAGGGATAAACCTTTACTTGTTCCTTCAAGTTGAGTTTTTGTTTAGTTTTCCCATTTGATGCATTCTGTGATCTTCTGTGTCCATGTTTCCATGTCTGCTTACTCCTTTAAAGATGGATCAGCCGTGACCTTTAAAGAAGATTAAATGGTATTCTGTTTCTGACCAGATGCAAATGTGGCACTCCTGATCTTTAATCTTAAGAACACTGCACTGTATCGTTTGATTAATTGTGTCAATGTACTGCGTTATTTGTCCGTTTTGGAGCAGTTGACATGTCTGTATTTGTATGATCTTTTATGTCAATGAGCTGTATTAGCAACTTATTCTCTCCCCCCTGGGGATTAATGAAATGCACTGTAGAGTAATAGGCTAGACCAGCAACAGCTCTGATTAGTCGACAGGTAAGAGTGTTAGCAGCCATTGCATAAAGACCATACATAACTCCTTTATAAGTGTTAATCTTTCCTTTTAGAAAACCTGATAACCTTGGGGATAGAGAACAGTATTTAACCATTACAGCTCAAGTTTATCGTGACGCAGTAAATAGCCAAGGTGCTGATCTGCAGAAGCGTGAAGAAACAAGCTGCTGCTCTGGCAGGTGTTGGCTGGGCTGTAGGGGGTGCTGTTCCTTTTGGAGCTGGACTCCCGAACCAGTGCCTGTGCTGTGGGAGGTGCAGTGCTGCAGGGTCATGAAAGCCTGGACGATCCTACCCTATTTTAGGCCTCCGTGTGAGCTGGCTTTGACTCAGGGTTGTTCTGAACAGGCACACAACCCCCGGCTCTGCAAACTCTCTCTCCCTCCCCCTGCTGACAGATTTCCTCAAGGGCAGCAGCTGGTGACGAAGCTGGTCACGGCGCCGATGGCGTGTGGCGCCGTCATGGTGCCCACGACGATGTTCATGGGGCAGGTGGTGACGGCGTACCCCACCTTCGCGACCCAGCCGCCGCAGACGATCTCCATGGCGCAGCAGCAGCAGCAGAGCCAGCCGGAGCAGCAGCAGCAGCAGCCGCCGAGCACGGCGGTCCAGCAGGGGGCGCCAGCTCCGCCCCAGCAGTTCCTGCAGGTACCGCTGCGGCCCAGCCTGGGCGAGAGACGGGTTACTGTGAGGATAGAGGCTTGGCCACCTTAGTGTGGGAACCTGAGCGCGAAGGAGAGGGTGCAAAACGAGAGGCCCGTGGGGGTAGTTAAGCAGCTCCTCGATCCCAGGACCTCATCCAGCTGTGCCACAGCTTCAACCGCATGGCTGGGCGGCTCGTTCGTTTCTCTTGCGAACTCTGGTTCGCGTTTCGCGTTTTATGCTACAAACAAAAAACATCCTCCCTCCGGGACATCCTTGTCTGTGGAGGTCTGGGGGTGTTGTCCTCGCGTTCTGCAGCCGCCTTGCCGATGATTTCACTGACCCGGCTCCCTCGGTTCGCTGGTTTGCTACAGGGCGGAGCTCCTGCATGGTCCTTGTGCAGTGCTGCCCCCTAGCTGGCGCGGGGCGGGGGCCGCGGGGTCTGACTCGCTAGCAGCTGTCATGGCGCCGGCATGCAGGAGTGCCGTCCCGGAGGGCTGGCGTCTCGTCCCGGCAGCCCAGCGGGAGCGCCAGCAGGGCAGACTCTATTGTGTTAAATGGCAGCTGCCAGGCGTCGGCCCAGGCCCGAGGTTTGGCTACTGCTGTCTTTTTGAATCCACCAGGTATCTTGAGTGGAGAAAAATGTGTACGGATTGAAGAATTCATTTAAAATGATGAATTTCCTCAGATTTCCGGCGTGCGTGCAGAATGTGGTGTCATTTTGTGCGCCTGTGCCGGTTGGAAACTTTTTGGTATCCAGCGAATCTCAAGTTTGTTTGTTTGTTTGTTTGTTTGTTTGTTTGTCCTGTCGTATCGATCAGGCCTCTCGCCTGCTGCATGGGAGCCAGTCCGCCCAGCTCATCCTGCAGGCTGCTTTCCCCCTGCAGCAGCAGGGTGCTTTCACTCAAGCACAGCAGCAGCACCAGCAGCACCAGCAGCAGCACCAGCAGCTCTCTGCACACAGGACAGACAGCATGTCCGACCCCTCCAGCGCGCAGCAGCCGCAGTAGCCTGGAGCAGAGCAGGACGCAGGGCCGCCGGGAGGCTTGAAGCGCAGTATTCAGAGGGCGCCTCTTCGGGTGGAGCGCGGGGGCTGCACTCGAGAAGAAATGAAGCACTACGAGAGACGGGGGGACGCCAGCCGCCCGCGCCCCCCCGCACGAGGAAGGGGCCGCGCGCTGGAGCTGCCGGGCTGGAGACCGAGGTCATCGGGAAGCAGCACTGGGCTTCCAGCGCAGTTTTCCTTTCCTCCTCTCTCCTCCTCGCAATTGCATTGTCCAGCAGTTGTTTTAATTTATGCAGAGTGTTCAAGCAGAAATGCTGCAGGCTCTTTTGGTTTTGTGGCTGACGACGATGATGATGATGATGATGATGATGCTTTAGGTAAGTCCAAAGGACACTTTTGTTCATGTCAAATAATAATGGGTCAGAAAATATTTTTCAGAATGTCATGTGGTTTCAACTTTATTGTACAGACACCTGTAAAATAATGTGTATATATCTCGATCAAAGGAAAGAGAACGAATATTTTATATGATGCATGAAAGCGTAACCTGTTATTTGTAGCTTTGACTATAATTTTTTTCTAGTATTCTGAAAGAAAAAAAGCAAAAACTCTAAAGCTAATATTTTCATCCGCTTCCTTACAGATAAGGTGAATTGCGTCTGTTTGACTGGCGTTTCTGTTTGTGTTTCATGCCCTGTGGTGTCACAGTTTGTTTAATGGGTAGATATGTATTTTAGTAGAGCTCATGTTTTGTGAATTTCAGAAAAAAATATTTTAAAGAGATTTTCTTTTAACGTTGTGTTCCAAAGACGCACAATAAGATATCTAAAATTTTAAAGAGAAATTAGCTTATGTGACAAAGTTCAATTTTAATATGTAAATACAGAAATTACAAAAAGCTTTGCATGCTGTTATAGAATTTATTATTGAGTGCCAATAAAGTCATTATACTTTTCATTAGTTTTGTAAGAAATATCCAGAAATTTATAGCAGAGTCTTAATATTTTCAGAAATTACCCTAATAAAAGATTATATATTACAAATAGTTTTAAATAGTAAAGACCTTAAATATGAAACAGTATAATCCCTTTTAGAGTTATTTTATCAGCATATAATTATGCGTTTGCACACTAAAAATATATAGAAAAATATATCTGCATTAATTGCAAATTAAAATCTAGACCACTGTGGCTTTATTCATATGTAGATTTCAGAAATCACAATGTTTTTATCCTGAGTGAAAACTGTTGAGGAGTAGTCACTATCGGCCTGTTGTGATCCAGCTTGCCAAATTCATTTTTCCACATGGAAAGAAGAAATGGTTTCCTCACCTATTAGTCTCTAAAGCGACAGAGAGCAGTCGGAAGCTGAAACGTCTCCTTTTTTTGCTTGTTCAGAACTGTTCTTCCTATGAATGTTTTTAGGACCCATATTTTGACCTGAAAGAAACAAACAGCCGTCAGCAAAATGATTTGAACCTTCAAAGAATAAACTGTAACTACTGTCACAGGTCGACTGTGAGTTAAAGGACTGGCTGGAGACTGAGGTAAAGACTGTGGATGTCGGCGGCTCTAGTGACGGCTCTTAGAGCCAAATGCAGCAGACATCCGACTGTGGATTCCCTGGACTGCCTGATGGATACTGTGGTGGCTCCTGCTCCACCAGGCAGAGGACATCTGAATGTTTTACCCAGATGTGCTGTGAGAAAAGTGGCTGCACAGTGAAAATGCAAAAGTTTTATCAGTAGGTCGTTAGACACAAAATATCACTTGCGTTTTATTTTAAATAGAGGACAAGTAAGTTTGTTGATTAACATTGTTCCTTAGGATTAGAACTGAGCTGAAGTCATGCAGTTTCATGTAAACATACGGAGCTCAAAGCATTCTATTAGAGCTGTTAGAATTGCCCGCGTGAGAATCTGTATAAATAGCCATTCATAAAGACGAATTGGCATAAAAATCCAGATGTTAAATACTTAGTGCAAGAACAGCAAACGCCCTCCCTGCGTAATGAAGATGGTCGTGCTGCTGTCAGTGTGATTGAAGTCAGGTTGAGTGAGAGAAGGAGATTCAGTTTTCATCAGTCAGCAGGCATGTAGACACCAGGGTACAGTGAGCTACATGCAATATTCTGGAAGACAGAGGGTGAGCACATCTGTCCAGAACTGTCACATCTGTCTGATCAATCAGGGTGGTTCTTTTCCGACAGCAGTGGCTACTGCAAGACAAACAACCCAGGTATCGGCACATCTGCAGGTTACTGTCTGCATGAAACTCCTCAGAGGTCAGGGGTGACGTGTTGACCTTTCTCCTGTGGCACGCCAGGACACTGAGCTGGCAGAGTGTTGTATTCTCAGGAGGAGACAGTGCTGCCCTTTGCAGACCTGTATTGTGTGGAGCCATTGTCATGGGCATTGTGCTGGATTTTCTCTCGCACAATTAAGATTGGGCAGGTATTGAGAGGCCAGTGGAGTGTATCCTTTGATACGCTGCCGAGCGTCAGTCGTCCAGCAGGATGACACACGACTTCCAGACAGGCCGTGGAAAGCTTTTTTCCCCACACGGAGCCCAGCCTGGCAGAGCGTTGCGTCAGTGCTTGCAGGTCACATGCAAAACCGGCTTTCCCGTTTTAGTTTCGTCAGGGTGCCACTTGCGTTTGTGTAATCTGCTTATCTGCTTTTGTTCACCTTTCTTTCATTCTTTTGTTTGACATCTTTTACATTGCATGTGCATCTCTTGTGCATGAGTATATGTAACTACTATGCATCTTTTGAAAGGTTCTGTCTGTACAGAAGATAGAGGCAGTCCTGGTTCCTGAACACTATTATGTTGAAACCATGTCATTTGAACCAGATAGTAGTAAGACGGTGATTGGCTCCTGGGCTGTGACCGTGTTTTCTGTTTTAACACATATTTCATCTTCAAATAATGAAGAATGTTGTGCCGTAATCATATAAGACGATTATAAGATTGTGTTTTCCAGGACAATTTAAGACAGAGCAGGAATTTAAAACTGTTTAAAGTGAAATATGTTTGCCTGGAATTCATAAATCGATCCTTTGCGAAACTGAAGATTAGGGGTGGGAGTCTGGACCCGAGTTTCGAGAAGAACTCTCTTCTCCAAGTCACATAATTACGTGACTGGAGTCCACCTGTGTGCAGTTGAGGTGTTTCACATGATTTCAGAATAAACACAACACCATGAAGACCAAGGAACATTCAGATCCAAGACAAGGTTCTTGAAAAATACCAGTCAGGGCAAGGATATAAGAAAATTTCCAAGGCATTGAATATATCTCGAAGCGCAGTGAAGTCCATCATTAGAAAGGTGAGAAAATATGGAACAACTGTGAATCTGCCCAGAACTGGCCATCCTCCAAAACTGAGTGTCTGAGCACGAAGAGCCGTAGTAAGGGAGGCCACCAAGAGGCCTACGGCAGCTCTGACAGAGAAACTGCATGAGACAGCAATAGCACGCACACTTTATAAACCTGGCTTGTACACAAGGGTGGCAAGAAGAAAGCCTTTGTTGAAAAAAGCTCATCACATCTGGGCTGGAGTTTGCTCTTCCGTGGGGTGCGCTGGTGTTCAGTCCAGCTGGACTTCCAGCTCTTTCGTGGCCCGAAACTGATAACTGATGATTGAGTTTTCAAGAAGTATTTAAAATCTCTTGTCAATTCCTAGATCAGAATAGATATAAAAGCCAGAACACTATCAAATAAAAGTACTAGTAGAGGACAGAAAAGGTAACAATGCCTTTCATGCATTAGGGGTCTTTGTCAGATAAAGTATTAATATTCTGCCAAGCATGGGGTTTTATCTCAAGGGACCTGCGATGCTCGTGTGGAGCTCTCAGGCTTTATTGCATCTGCCCTTGATTTAAGAGACAGTTATTGTTCTGTAGGTCGACTGCAGGCCTGGATTGCAGAGCTCAAGAAAAGGCTGTGATGGGGATCTTGCTGCTCAGAATTGTGGAGATTTTGAATAGTTTCATCAGTCCCACATTGCTGTGGAGCTTGCTGCATTTCTGTTTTCAACCTGTTTTATTCCTCGTACTAGGTCACTTCTGAACGAGGTATTTTCTTAATTCGTCAGCTGTGGAACTTTGAATATGCAAGTTTCATAAAGAATATCGATCTCCAGATACTTTCTAGAAAGCCTAACGCCCCACTGCCAGGGCACTGAGCCAGTCTGTCTGGGATGCTTCTCTGTGCTCTTACCAGTATCAGTGGAGAAGACCAGGGACCCAGGCTGGTACTGAAAGCCAGCGGTGCACATCTGTGTGCTGCACTGGCCCAGCCTTCTCCAGGAGCACTCATGAAGTGTTGCAGAAACACCCAGCCTGATTCTCGCATCTCACGGCACTGACACCATAGAAATAAAAGGGCTGTATGATTTCTTTTTTACTAAGCCATTTGAAGAAAAAGAAAAAACGAATGTATGTTCAGCTCGGGTAACTTCTTTCTAAAGTTCACCATGTCACGGTGTGTCTTCTGTGTTTATAAAGCGACTGAGGGGCCATTCAGCCCCTCTGGCCTGTTTGATGTTCTTATTGATCCAGAAACGATGGGATGCCATTCAGCTCATCAGTGTGGATCCTTGACTGGATCAACACCCTTCTTACAGATTTCGGCTTAAGGGCCGGAGCAAAACTGCTTTACTTCTGTAAAAGAACCTTTTACAGATTGTGTGCAATACGATCACAACACTTGCTAACTTCTGGGTCATAACGTAGTTCATAACCATGTTTTGCATTCTGACTGTCAAGATACGACATGCACACATCCTGTGAAAAATCTACAGCTTAATGCTCCCAATGCAGCTTTCCTCTAGTGAAGATGCAGAAGTTAAATGACTTCTGCACCTTCAACAGAGAGGTTTACATCATCTTAATAGTGTACTTTTTATATAGCTGCAAAAAGAATACTATTTCATTTTGGTTTAAGTTTCTTCAGTAAGACACCGTAACATGTAACAAAAGCTTGAATATATTAACTACTTAAGGGTAAGAGGATATATTTCAAACCATTTTAATAAGCTTATATATAAATACATTTTATTTTTTTATGGGCAGAATTATAAGGTTAATAGATGAATGGATATATATAAAACAATCTTTAGCTGTAACTGTTCTTTCATCACTGTTCATAAAGGGAATAAATATGCCCAGCATACATACATTCAGAAAACCTACTTACGGTAATTTATTCTAAAAATTAAACAAACTGTGACATATTGTTAGAAGAGGATTGTTAAAATTGTGGGTTTCTAAAAATTTACTTTGCCTTCCCCTTCCCTCAGAATTCATTTTTCATTTTGAAGTTGCAGACTTGTGCACACTCACTGTGGTTAGAAAGTGACGGTTAGTTTTGTTCGATAACGTAATGCAACTGTTGATCACATCAGAATTCTTCTTCACTGGCCATTGAGGTTACTTTAACCACACAAGTAGGTGTTTTCTTTAGTTTTTGTGTATTTTAAATTGTTGCTGACATTGTTACGGAAAGTCCGAACGTTTTACAAAGAAAACAGATGATTGATTAAAATAAATCCAAAGAGGTGTAATTATAATGAAAACGAGTAATGTTCCTTTTTCAATACATCCAATTGGGAGAAGGGGAAGGAAGATGTTACATCATTTTATATGTTCTGTAGTTCTAATGTAAGCACTAGAAGTTCTGAATGTTTAATCAGTGTTTTTTTCTGTATCATTTAATATCTGCATAATGTTCTTTGGAGAACAGTTGTGCTTGGCTTATGAAATAACTGGTTTTGTACAAAAAAATTTAACACGTCTAGAGAACTCTCTCAATTTTCCAGAAATCTGAAAGAAAAAATAAAATGACCTAGATTTCAAAGCAGTTACTACCACCTGTCTTTCAAGACTAGCTTCAGGAGGTTTAAACGTGCATTCTACGTTTTTATGGTGCTGTAACACCCTAGCAAGCATACTGCACATTTTTCATTTCATGAGCTAAGCAGTTCTCACTAACAAAACCATAATGGGACATTTTTTTTTAGCAGATCTTGCCGAGTTTGCTCCCCTTATTCGATTTTGAAAATAAATGGATAAATTGAGATGTTTTTTTGTTCCCCGGGGTGCTCTTACATGTGTAACAGGTATGCAGCACTTGTCTTCTGCTCAGAAAAAAATAGGTTAATGTCAAAAAATATTTATTAGGTAAAAGCTAACGACATTTACATTTACGGGAGAAATGAAAGGAGTTGTTTCAGCGTTCTGGAGGGGCATGCTTCAGTGTTTCAGACACTGGATGGAGGTTTTAAGGAAAAAAAAACCCTTAGAAGAACTTGAAGTGAATAGAAAAGGATCAGTTTATTTTTTTTATTGATACAAATCACAATTCTGTGTGGATTTTTTAACATTTAACTGACCTCCAGTCTGACCAAAGTTCCAGGAAACGCAGGCGGGGGCAGAGGGAGCGACGCCCTCTCGCTGTGCTTTCACAATGACCAGGGAGAACCCGGCCCGACGGGGGGCAGAGGGAACAGTGCTCTTCCCACGGCCACACTCAAGGCACAACCCAGCCTCCCTTGCCCAGCTGGCTCACCTCTTACTATTGATCCGGCTGGGGCCTGGCCAGTGGACCCTTCTCTTTTGTACAGGAGTAGGAACAGCTGAAAAGGGGCTTTCCTGGTAAAATGGATTTTCCCATGTCCGTCCAACTGCTCTTGAGCAGATAATTATAGCGTTTTTTTCACAATGCAATGCTTTCGGCTTTGATCAATTATATTTTATCCACTACATCATTCAAGTCATTAAAGCTGGACTTCAGCAACACATAGAGGAAGGTTTTTATTATTAGCGTGATAGAATTTGAGACATATTTACATGAATCAGGGTCTACAGTTATCAATTCCTCTGCTCCAACGCGTGTGGATCAATATTTTCTCTTCAGCCTTCGAGGCCGCCGTGTCAAATATTGACAATGTAGGTACCTTGTAAGTTTTCAACCCACCAGTGTAAAAAATATCTCCCCTGACATTATACAGTACTTGATCTAAAAAAAAAAAGAAAACTAGATTTAACTAGCAAAAATATTTTAATCTTCACACTAATTTGATTAAATACAGAACACCCACCAAGGAAAATATTTTCTTCAAGGTTTAAGACGCCGAGTTCCTGAGAACCACTCAGCCTCACATTCAAAGTCACTTCATTCCTAACAAAAGTAAAAGAATAACCTAAAGACCACACGAAGGTAGCGCCTGGGTTGCAAACTCACAACCACAGCAGAACCGGAGCCGCATTCACGCACAGCCAGGGCGTGACAGCTAGGGGGCTCCGCTGAGCAGAGTGGTCACACTAACAGAATCCAACTCCCAACGTCATCCTCACTGAAGCTGGGCAGCGAGAACACGAGGTCCTGCGGGTCAGAACCCGGCGTCCGGTTTGATGAAGAGGGCCGAGAGGGCAAACGCCAAGAAAACAATCCCTCCTATTATGGTCACTGCAAGAAAAGAGCACAAACGAAAGGTTACAATCTCATGTCCCTACTCCGCCATCCAGCAGTACCAACATCTCGCTGGTCAGAAAAGCCTCTTCCCCTTATTTCACCTCTGCAGAAACTCTGATTTTTGATGTTGACCTTATTTTAACTGCACCCTCAAATACTTCAGCCTCCAGACCTGTACCGGCTGCCTTCTCAGTACGCACTGTACCCTTCTTTAGTCCTTCTGTGGCAGAATACAATATTAAACACATATCTCACAAAACTCACCTACAGAAAGAAAAATGGAATAAAGATCTAGATTTAACAAGTCATGTAGAGTATTGCTGGACTACAGATTCCAATACAAATTCCTTTATAGTTCTGTAATGATGCATGGACAACTACATAAGAGGGTTTTTTTTTTAAATACCTACCCGTTCTGACCGAGATTTTCTGAGCGATCATCCTTCCACCAATAACCGCAAGTCCTGTGCACAAGCAATGCCCAAGTGTCCCTCCCACAGCCACTCCAAAAGGGTCCTGTCGAGCAGGGCAAAGTGTAGGACAGCTCAGCATTCTTGCATGCGATTCGTTGGGGACGCCGGGTTTCCTGTTGCTCGGAGTTTGCCTTATGGACAGTGATGGACAGCAGCCAAGAGGACAGGTGTGCAGACAGACCTCACTATCCACAGATAAACGCACCAAGTGCTTGGCCAGGATGTTACATTCAAACATCCCCTGCCACTGTTCTGCTACTGCTTTCAGCCTGCACGCAAACTCATGGTTTGCAACTGCAGCACTGAATTATAACCACCTGCCTGTGCTTATTATAGGTCCAAACACAAGGAATAAAGGCCAGTGTAACATCAAAATGTTGCCTTTAGACTTAAGTACAATGCCCTAGTAAATAACTACCCACAGAAGGCTTCCTGCCAGGCAACCAGGCATTTATAATTCAGAGCCAGGGCTCTGGGGTGTAACCCTACGCTTCTGCACTTTCTCGACACCAACGCAGTAAGCAGTGTGGGTTTCTCTCGCTGTCTACTGGCTCCTGGCTGTGGCTGCACAGGCAGTTTAAAGGCTTTGGCCAAGCGGAAAACTCACTGATTCCAGAGAAGCAGCCAGACACATTCAAAACCCCCGAGGGCGCCGACGAGGTCAGCCCCAACGGCGGGACGCGACCCAGGCGGCACAGGAGGAGACGACCCGGAAGTGCATTTAAAACCGAGAACAGGAGGCACTTCTTTACCCAAAGGGCTGGGAGAGTCTGGAACCAGCTGCCCAGCCATGTTGCCGAAGCCGATACCCTTGGTTCCTCTCGGGATCCCGGGATCAATGAACCATTACCGAGCAAACCGAATGGCTCTCCTCTCCCACGTACCTCTCGGGCGGCCAGGACGATGGTGGTCAGCTGCGACCGGTCGCCCCACTCGGCGAGGAACGTGAGTGTGAAGGCCTGGATGAAGATGGGGGAGATGATGCTTTGCCACCTCTTCGAGGGCATCGCCGTTCCCGGGCCGGCTTCGACGTCCGCGGCGCCGTTCAGCAGCTTGGACCGCTGGAGCTGCAAGGACACCACATCAGACAGCGGGAAGAGACGGGGGCCGGCGGAGCTACAGCTGCAGAGGGACTCGAAGCGCCAGGTCAGTTCCTCCGCGCGCGTCGTACACTCCATCTCTCCAGAGAGCCGCTTCAGAGGCGCCACGGTCATCTCTCGGCCCCACCTCCGCTCCGACACGCAGAGACGCAGGGTCCTTGGAACGGACTTCAGATTCTTCTACTCAAGACCTTAAATCCTTCGTGAAACGGCAGCCCAGCACCTAGAATAACCCCTGGAAATGAGAGGCGTCCATCCGGGCCACTCACCTCTTCATCCTTCTTCTTGATCTCGGCCTGAACCTCCTCCAGCTCCTCCTGGCCCTCGTCCGGGCTCATCTTCAGCCCCTCCCGCAGCATGCGCACGCCGAAGATGGCGAAGAGCGCCGTGGACACGTAGTAGGTGTATATCCTAGGGATGATGGTCGTGGCGTAGCCGAAAAGCACTGGAAAGACAAATCGTGAAAGTGTTCAGCTCCCGGTCCGTACCACACCCCATCCCACAAACTGCTGTTCCACAGCCTCCTCTCCTCTGCACGTAGACAGACACTGCCGTCTCTCATTTTTCTCCAGCACATAGTCTGCTACTCAGGAGATGAAGTACTTTCTTCATCACCATTATCAGAACCCTTCCAGTCAAAGTGTATAAAACCACACACAGCACTCTGAAAAATTGGCTTTGTGCTGCGTTTATGGACCAGGTAGGTGGCGCTATAACAACTGGGTCAGAATTCACAAACCAGGTGTGCCCCAGCATGGTGACCAGAGGCGCTGTTCTGTCCTTCGGGTGAGACATTAAACCCAAGTCCTGCTTACCATGTCATCAAAGCCCCCAGGGCACAGTTAAGAGCAGAGGTGTTTACCCCGAGATCCTGGTTCAATTTCACGCTGGACTTGGATCTTGCCTCCCTCGATTCAACTAACGAAGTAATTTCTCTCTTCCCCACCTGTTCTACTGCATATTAAGGCTGCTGGTGCAGAACTGCTGCTGTGTGCCGCCCAAGTGAAAGGCGAAGTGCTTTGGGATCCTCTGACATGAAAAGGGCTACAGCTATACCAATGCAAACATTTATCATCCAACAGCCAGAGACTTTCTGGGATCAAACAGAAGATTACACTGACGGACACAGACACAGAAAAGAGAGAGACTTTTCATCTCCTTGCTCTTTTGTTTGTGCCTTCCCCGAAGCTCATGTTAAAATCACAATACTGTAGACTGCGATCAAAGTCTAAAAGGAAGATGTTCAATTATTTCAATGCAGGATTTCCTTGCCCTGTAAAATACACTGATCATATTTCCTTACGTTCTGTGTATTTTTCAGAACCAACATGACTTGCAGACATTAGCAAGACGGCTATCATTTCATACCCGCTCTTGCAGGGTGGGTAGCCACAAAGCCCCTCATCCCAGGTCTCATGCCTGGTCCTTCGAGACCAGCTCCGTGAGGCGAGAGAGCTCCTGAGTGTCTGGCCCTGCTCCCCCACCAGCAACTCCCAGTCTCCTGCTTCGGCACACCGACAGCATTCTCAAGGCTCTCAGGATAAACAGCTTTCCTACGCTTTGGCTGGACGAATATGAGGACACAAACCAGAGGAGCCATTCTGCCCATCTAGCCTGTTTGGGAGTCAGAAGTCCATTTGATCTCCGGATCTGATCTAGCAGTTTCTTTGAAGAAACCAGGCTACCAGCTTCATCACCTTGGCTGGGTGCCAGACTCCAAACCTCTCTCCATAAGAGCCTCCCATTCTTGGTTTTAAATGCACTTCCCTGTAGTTTCCACTTGTGTCGTCTGGCTCATGCGTCACTGTTTGCTCTGGAGAAACGTGCTGGGCTGGCTGTGGCAGCCTCGGAGGATTCTGAGTACTTTCCATCACTTGTGTCAGGTCCCCCCATAGCCTCCTCTGTTCAAGACTAAAAAGGCTCAGTTCTTTCAGTCTGAGCGTTATTTTGCCTTTCTGGAAACAGAATAAAAAAAGGCTGTTCATGCCCATTTCAGAAGTAAAAGACAAAGTGGAAAAAAAGAGGACCTTGTAAAAACGGGTTTAACCAAAGCATGTACTTTGCAGCATATTCTACATAAACTGATGCAAGAGTCCAAATAAACAAGTGGCTTCTTCATGAGCACATTATTAAATCGTTCCTCTTTTCCTCCTCACTGGCTCGCTCGAAAGCGATCTGAAACTGCATCAGGAGGAGCCCCAGGGCTCACGATCAAAGCGCTGCCTGTTCACACAGCACAGGCTCCTCTGCACAGAGGCCCTTGTGTTTCAGCAGGAGGCTTCTGCACGTGCCGAGAGCTGTGTGCAGGAGGGTTAAACTGCTCTAGACTCGCACGGACCACGGATGTCCACCTCGTCAAGTGTCCCTAAAAAACAAAACAAAAATCCAGCTGCGTCTCTGAGGCTGGCTTAGCACACGTCGGGAACCGTTTGAGAAGCACCACTATCACCACTCGATCTGACACACGCTCTCTCTGTCCGGCTGATCACGAGGGCCCTCCTCCCAGACCTCTGCATGCTCCTGGGCACTCCTCAACCCTTACATCCCTCACCTGCCACCACTCTCGGCTGAACGACAACAAGCACAAGAACTGCAGAGAAACTCGTGCACTTCCCTTCCTCGGGCGAGCGGCGGGCTCGTCGCTGGCAGCAGGGCAGCGGGATGTCGTGCCAGGGACACCGGACACGAGAGGGGACACGGGTTTGATCAGGGGGAACGTGTACGGAACCTGCTCTCCACGCCACGGGGATTAAGGCAAGACACTGGTCTCCCCCTGCCGAAGTAGCGGGGGACCCCCACGGAGAGCCCACTCACCGGACAGGCAGGTCATCACCCCCAGAGCCAGCATGGCGCCAGCCAGCACAGTCAGCCGGTTGTAGCGCATGGCCATGATGGCGGCGATGAAGAAGGTCTTGTCCCCCAGCTCGGACACGATGATGACAGAGATCGCCGCCACGAAGGCATGGATGAAGCCCAGGTTCCCTCTGCTGGGATCGTCCTCGCTGATCACGGGGCCTCCGGGCTGGGCGCTGGGCAGCTTCTGCAACTTTCAAATGTTCTGCGTTATTCTCAAGATGACAATCCCACCTGTACTTGGAGGAACATCTAATACAGTCTTCCCGCTTCAGAGCGTCATATAACCCCATACCACATTTTTCGGCTTTATACCGTCTGCTACAGGTCAGGCGAAAGCACACAAGCGCGAAACTGCCACCTCTGTCACTTGGCATCCCGGTTCTTCACAGAGCAGCTGGGGACACAATGAAGCGGCACGTATCGCGCCCTCAAGCCGGAAACCCGGGTTTTCGGCCGCCAGATCGTGCTGAGGGGACGGGTACGTCAGGACACACCGGCCCCGGAGGGCAAGGCCGAGGGGGCTGGTGTCGCCGCGGCTCTTTCCCTACCTCTTGCGGGGCTTGCTCCTGCGCCGGCGGCTGCTCCTCCTGGATGCCCCTCACGCCGGCCGGCAGACAGAGCCCGGCCAGCAGCAGAGCGCAGAGCAGACGGGCTCCCTGCCTCCGGGCGCTACCGGGGAGCCGATACATCACTACCAACGGAGCGGGCGGCAGACAGACGCGTTACAACAATTACTATTTTAATTTAAAAAGGGGGGGAGTTAAACCAAACAACTTAAAACTTAAATTAAACTAAAAAAAGGCATATTTAATTAGATGTAACTGACGCTACTTCCACATCTCTACTCCGAGCCGGAGCTGACGGCTGCTCGGGCTCTGCCAACCCTGCTATCTGCTGCAGTCCGACACATCGCCCTGCGCCCGGCCGGCGGGGGCGGGCTCTGCGGGCCACGTTCACGACGCTTCCCGGGATAGGCCAATGACACGCCGCGGTAAGTGATCGTCATCACAGGCGTCACGGGATCGGTCGTCATGTTAGGTAGAGAGGCGCAAAACCGGAAGGAAGAAGTACGAGAACTTCCTCCAAAGGGGGCGTTTGGCATTTTACAGGTACTACCTATAAATATACGTGTCTGTTGGTTTTCTGCCATCCCCAGTGTTGATTGATGACTTTATGTGGTAGAGCTGCCTGTGAAGATTTTTAGTTATGTTGTTTCTGCCCTAATTGCTAAATTACAAATTCTTGCTTCGAGTGTACTGCTTCTAACAGCACACGTTTACCCTTATTACTGACTAGCCAGCTCCTACCCGGAGGCCACCGACACGGGTGAGCTTCACCTAGCACCAGGCACTCCCACAATCTGTTTCTCCATCTGCAGCTGTGCTATTACATGTCAATCAGCTCAGGTTTAATTGGACCGGATAAATGCCTTCCACCAGTTCAAAGTTTATTTATCAAATGTACAACAATGCAGCGTGCAGCAGTAGTTGCTGGAAATGAAATGTCTTTTCTGCGAGCTCATCGGGGGGTAAAAAACACCAAATAAAAGTTACAAAATAGATAAAGTTACATAATGATAGATAGTGCAATAGAAATTGAATAAGAAACTCAGAGCTCAATATAAATAGAGCTGCTTTTGAAATGGTCTCCTCCAGCCTTATGAAAAACAATGCAAATTAATTCTTCACTGATATCAAAACCCCTCATGGAGATAACAGGAATCCATTTCTTTAATCATTTTGCACAGTTAAGTAGAATAAGAAACAAAACAACAAGCAGGAACTCATGGAACACAGATTTAATCTCAAGGTACTGGAAACACCTCCAGGAGTGTAATGGAATGTTTTATCTTTAAGGTCATCAGAACTAATCGGTAATCCACATAGTAAGAAAGCTGCTTGCTCCTGGTTATAGTCACAGCACCCCAGAAGCTAACCCCACTAGACATAGGGTGCAAATGAACATTTCTCCCTGGGCTAGACTCCATTCCATCAAAAGGACACAAGACAGGACACACCCTGGACAGGACACCAGTCCATCAGAGGGCACAAGGTAGGACACACCCTGGACAGGACACCAGTCCATCACAGGGCACAAGGTAGGACACACCCTGGACAGGACACCAGTCCATCACAGGGCACAAAGTAGGACACACCCTGGACAGGACATAAATCCATCACAGGGCACAAGGCAGGACCATACTCTGGTCAAGACACTAGTACATTTCAGGGAACAATAAGAGACATCAGATATCCTACCCAGCTTATCTCTGCAAGGGAGGAAACCAGAGCACTCAAGAGGCAGCAGCACTAACTGCCATGCCAACGTGCTGCCCTGAATCAAAACTTGAACATGTCATAGAAATACATACAGAGAGGTGGCTCTGTGGCTCAGGATCTGCGCCTGTGGCTGGAAAGTTGCCGGTTCACATCCCGCAGCCGGCAGAGGAATCCTACTCTGTAGGGCCCCTGAGCAAGACCCTTAACCCCAACTGCTCCAGGGGCGCTGTACAATGACAGACCCTGCGCTCTGACCCCAGGCTCTCTCCCTATCTGTGTGCCTGTGTGTCTCATGGAGAGCAAGCTGGGGTCTGCGAAAAGACGAATTCCTAATGCAAGAAACTGTATAGGACTAATAAAGTTATGTTATGTTATACAAGATTTATTTACAATTTTGCACAAGCGGAATTACATTCTTTCCAAGCGGTACTTTCATACACTGCAGCTGAAATCTATAAGACCAAAGGAATGAAGGCTTTGCGGTGTTTTGGATAGGAGTCAAACTTGGCCAGATAGAACTGGTGGCACAGCACAGCCTCCAGCGCCTGGCAGCAGAACACGTACAGGACCACCAGCCACCAGGTGGGGGCGCCGCCGCCGAGGGCCACGCAGTAGGAGACGTAGATGAGCAGCTCAGCGAAGTAGTGTGGGCAGGAGACGAGCCGGAACCAGTCGCCGTGAGGGACGCAGTGAGCCAGCGTGAGCACCTCCCCTGCCGCAGCCGGAGAGAGACAGCGCGTCGGGGTTAATGATCCGCATCGGGGGTGTGAGCACAAGGCCCAGCGCGACTGACGTCAGCAAGTTTAACAACCGCCTTAAAACTTGTAGGGGAAACTCACAGCAAAACAAACAACAGACATGAACGGAGCCAAACAGAAGTTCAGAACGTACGAGGTCACTGTATTATATTTTCACTCAGCAAAATGGATGATTATTGGACAGACGCTGTATGTACACCTACCACCAAGGTGTGTTTCTGTACGGTCAAGGATGAGGGCCCGGCCATCCATTCAGCCATTTTTTTTATAACCTCTTTCTCCAATACAGGGTGATGGGTGAGCCAGACCTACCCCAGCAAGCAATGAGCACACCCCGGCCTAAAGAAGTGCCGGTCTAGGTGCTCCTGCATCAGACAAGCACCGTTCCATTGGTTTCAGATCTTCAGTTCCCCTTTTATGAACTGATTCAGGCGCTGGGCTCTAAGCCACATTTTCTTTTGGAGCAGGAAGTAGGGAAGCTTTAAGGCTGTGAAGAACAAATTGTTCATGGGATTGCGCCGGCTTTTCATATCTGTCCTTGTCAAGCTAGGAAACGGGGAGTGTAGTCAAAACACTTGGACAACAATCTGAAAAAAAAATGCGACTTGAAGAAGGATCAAGTGAGATCCTTGGCAGTGTGAATTACAAAGGTGCAGTTTGCCAAATAATTCCCCAGTCAAACCCGAGTGACCTGTCATGTGTGTAGCAACACCTGTGAGACCCCCGTGCAGCTCTCACCTGAGCGACCCTTCCTCAGGTTAGCGAGGATCACGTGACACCTGTGCTGGTGCACAGAGGCCCAGACAAACAAGCCCACCCCCGCAAAGTGGTTCCACCGCACCTGTGCCAGCACTCCACCTTTAAAACTACCTGCCAAAACAATAAACAGCTGGTTTTAAATGCCAGAACTTTTTTCTCTTGAAATGTATAACTCTACCATGCTTTTATTTACAACTGGAAAGTTAACAAAGTATACTGCAAAGTATGCATTATGTCAGATTTTGCTTTGTTTCCTTTTTGATACTTGTGTCCTGATGATAGGTAACGAAATATTATTCCATCCTAGGTTGGTATTAGAAAATCCATATTATTCTCTGACATTGGAGAAACAATCATTCACTGTTGCCTGCATTCAACATGACTGAGGAAAACCATGCAGACCAGTAAAATACACTGCACTTGTGAGGAAGAGGTGTTGTACACAAGGCACAACAGAAACACACAGCTGTAGGAGTTAAATACATATTAAAGACATTCAAAATCAGCAGTAACAGTATTTAATAATTACATATTCTCAGGCCAGACTGACCTTCGTGTTCAGTGTGAATGTTGGTACAAAGCACTGTTAATCCAAGTAAAATGTAGTAACCAAGCCCAAATCCATACTGCGCTAAGTGTATGACTCCATTGGAGAACACACTGACAAACAAACACTCCAGGAGCCTTCGGAGGGAGTGAGCACACAAGAGCACCTGCACCAGGAGGAGAGAGAACTGCTCACCTGTGAATGGAGAACAAACAGGTGCACTGTAACAAAGCAGTGAGATGTTTAACGAGGTTAAATATGAGCCTTTGGCTTCAATCGGACAAACATCCATAAAAATCGCCCAGCAGACAGAAATAAGGTGTTCTCTCTGGAGTGGCTACTGTTACCCTGAGCTCTCCAGGCCTCATAATTTACCCTGTCTGCATGCAGTTGTAATCTACCTTGTGAGAAAATAAAGTGCTAAAAACTAATAAGCTTGTTCTGGCACAGCTAGGTGAACAGCAAATCAATGCAATGGACGTCAGCGCATCACGATTTCCAACTAACTGGTAGAGAGATGCACAGATCCTCACACACTGGGGGTTCCCACCCTGGATCTGGGGAACCTACCCCTGCTAGTTGTCCTTTTAGTTGAGCAGTCAGTCACATAGCCAGATTCCTAAAGGGCCTAATAACAGGCGTGCTGTGAACATTTTAACTGTAGTTCCTCAACATGTTGGTGGCTGCCTTTAAACTGTCGCATTTCTTCTGATATAAATATGAAATAAAGCTGATCGTAATTAACAGCATAATAATTATTATTGCTGTTGGTATTATAAATGTTTGGCATTATTTAATAAGTCCAACATTTGCATTACAAAAGCTCAAATTGAAGTAATTGTTGGCTTCTAATTTAAGTAAAGAGCTGGGCTGGGATATGTTAGTGTAGATCCTTCAATGTTCTTTAGGTAAAGTATCCAGTGCAAGGCTACTTGATCATTCAGCAGAGAACCACCTGCCACTGCCCTTAACGATTCAGGAAACGTGTGTTCTTGTCTTGTGTTACACCTCCCAGCAGAGCAGCAGTGGCCTCATTCCTGCTTTTGATACAGCATGTGGGAACTTACCTGTCCCAGGTGTGGCTGTACCTCCATTGAGGAAACTCAGGGTGCTCTCTAACCAGCCTGGAAACTGCTTACCCAGCAGGGTCTTTTGTAAGCAAATAGTGAGTAATAAGGAATTCCAAATCACAGACACAGCGTAAAAATGGAAAAACCATCTGCAAAACACCCCCCAAACAACAATATTAACAATCTGACACGGTAAATAATAGTAATAATATATACAACAGTTAATATGCAGAATTATAAAGACCGTGTCATTGTCTTAAAGATGGAAACCAAGTTAGTCCTGTTCGTATCACACGTGTTCGAGTTACAATACAGTGCAGTTACTCGGTGACTAATACACGCGTTTTATGAAGTAATAAGTTACATACAGCATGACATTTATTATCCTCGAGAAAATGTAATAAAAATATTATTTTCAGAACATCGTGTTTTCCATAAGTAAATTCTAATGTCAATCAAAATTTAATATCAACATAATCCGGCCGTTTCTAATCAGCTTCCGTTTTGAACGCACAGCTGAAACTTTACACACGATGTCTTTTCATTCATCATATGAACATCTTTCTCTAAGGGGGGAACAGCAGTCCACAGCTCTGATTAAAGTTTAATATGATTTATAATTTAAGCCCCGGCAGGGTAAGATGTCTCTGACCTTTTAGGAACATCAAAGTATCGCAGTAGGTCTGACCGCTGTAGGGTGGTCTTGGTTTTTCCGTACCGAATAAAATCCTGGAATAAAACATAAACCCAGGAGCCACCGTATTTATCAGACGAGTGAGCACAAACGTGAATACAAAAAGCAAAGAAAAAACAGAGAGACAGAAGTAACCATATACAATCAATAGGATTCATCCTAAACCACTGAAACCAATGTTTCTTAGTGTCCGCGGGGGAAACAATTCCGACGTGCAATGCGCGTCTGTGCAGTAGGGGTTCCGCACCGCAAGGGTAAATACTTTTCAACACTTCTATAGCCCTCTGCTGGAGTCTCCACTCAAAGCGCTTCACGGGTAATGGGGATCCCCTCCACCACCACCGGTGTGCAGCCCCACCTGGATGATACGCCAGCAGCCGGGGTGCACCAGTACTCTCCTCACACACCAGCTCTCAGTGGGGAGAGCAGAGTGATGGAGCCAGTGCAGAGATGGGGATAATTAGGAGGCAAGGCCCAGGGATACCACCCCTACTAATGGTATTTGTTTAAATCTGTCCCGTTAAACAATAATAATAAATCTCCAAAGTTCTGCCTGCCGGCTGAATAAGGCGTTTTGTCCCTTCTCGCTTGCCGTCCGCCCTGCGCTGGTGGCGATTGGTCGAGTACTGCTCGCTGGCCCCGCCTCCACTTGGTTGCAAATGGCGCCGCGCATGAACAGGCGCCGGAGGAGGATGTAGTGGGTTTGCCTGTTTCTTGGGAACTGGGCAAACGAGCTTTGTGCTTTGCTCGGGTATAGAGAGAAGTAGGTATGTGCTGATGTTGTGTTCTATTTTGGAGGAGTTTGTCAAGTTTACTAGCAACCGCAGACTGCAATGCGTGTGCAGTGTTTTCCACAATCTCCAGTGTGCACTGCGAAGAGCGAGGTCATTTTGTGTTAAAATGAAAGCGGAAAAAAATAAAAATCCCAAATCGTATTTATTCTGAGAGATCATCATGCAGTGTTTCAGAAATGTATCGCTGTTAAATGTATCTCTCTTTTTTTTTGGTTCTAAAATTCAAGTGCTCACTACTTACAAGTCTTCTCAGGTTGGAAAATCGATGCCATAGCTGTATTTGAAGACTTACAAATACTGGAACTCCTCTGTCTAGACTAGAAATTCAGACTCATACCCCAGTATAGTGACATGGGAAACTGCTGCAGGAGGTGCTAGTCTTTGGATTAATCATAACTACCCAGTCGTTAAAGATCCCGTGACAATGTGAGAGTAGTCATGTTAACCCTGGTGCCCTAAATAAATTCCACTCCAGTCTTGAAAATTCCATGTTCCCTCAATTCCCCTTTTGATGTGATTGGTGCCGCGGTTTCTCACTCCTCCACCTGTGTGCTCCCTCGAACATGTGAAGCCCTTCAGGATGGGGAGCGCTGTGGGAGTGCAGGGAGTGACACAATAACATTATTGCTATTAAATACTTCTCAAGCTGTGGGAGCTGAGCTCTTTAACCTGCTCACAGGCCCCTGGGAGAAGCGTCTGCGTGTGTTTGTGTGACGGAATGGCGTCCCGTCCAGGGTGTAGACTGTCCTGTCCCGTGCCCATTACTGGTGGGAGTGTCTCCGGCTCCCCTGTGGCCCTGAATTGGGAGAAACGGTTGGGAAATTGATGAAGCCGAGTCCAGTGGTCTCCTCCCCTGTAAACACACAGGAAGTGCTTCCTGCTTGTCGCTGTATCCTGGTCCTCCTGGAAGCCCTTCTCATGTGCTGATCTTTTTCCTGGTTTGTCTGTTTTTTTGTCAGTGCCGAAGATGCCTGCGTTCCGACAAGTGGGGGAGAAGCAGCTGCCGAATGCCGTCCTTTTCATGGTCTGGTCCCCGAAGAGGGACCTGATCGCCCTCGCCAACCGAGCGGGCGAGGTAACAGCCCCAGGGCTTCGGGGCAGCTGGCCGCAGCCGGAGGGGCGCCGGTTACACGCCTGGCAGTCCTTGTGCTGAACTGGCGGATCAGAAGCTGATGCTCCGTGTCTCATGCATGCCTGTGCTGAGAATAAATTCGCTGTTCTGAGTGGCGGGTTTTCCCCGAGCGCGGCTGTCTGTCTGTCCACTGGCCCTGGAGAACATTTCTGTGTTTGAAAGTTAAATCGCCCCCAATGAATTAAAAAAAAAATAACACTCCTAAGAATAGTTCACGGCTCAAAAAAACAGCAGATTTCTGCTTTTGAGATGGTCACCCAGTAAATCGTCTGATCGTCTGTGGCTTTGTCTGCCCTCTGACTGGCATCGAAGCCTCCCTTTGTGTGCGTCTTGCGTCACGGCTGGGGAAGAAGCCTGTCTCTGTCTACTGCGATAGAGGCAGTCCTGCAGCAGACTGTAACTGTTGGGTTGCTGGTTGTAAATGAAGCTGTGTGTAAATTAAGATTTGAGGGTACAGGACAGAAAACAACAACTGGGGAATTCTAATCTCATAAAAGATGACGCGAGGAGTGTAGCTCTCGCTACGTGTATCAGCGACATTTAAAAACCTCATTAATTTGTCTTAATTGGTTTCAATGTATTTTTTAATTTATTTTTAAGCTCCTATTACACCGCCTGGCGAACTTTCAGCGGGTGTGGAGTTTACCTCCCAATGAAAACACCGGCAAGAAAATCACGTCGCTCGCATGGAGACCGGATGGCAAAAGTAAGGGCGGGAGACTTTTTAACAGGAGGGGGTCTGCTGCAGCGTCTGAAGAGCCCCAACACAGCCTGGAGCCCCAGTTACTTTCTCCTGGGGACTTTATGCCATCTAGATAACATCTACTACAGCATCTAAGAAAAGTATATTTTACATTATTTGTCATAAAGGAATCGACATGAGTTGGATTTCTTTTATTCCCTTTGCCCGTGCACTTCTTCATCAGTTGAGATGAAATTATAGCTTCTGTTGAGGGCATCTGTGTGATATGCATCCAGAAGGGTGGTTGATTATTCAAATTTGCAAAAAGAGCTCTAAAAATGTAGAAAACGATATTGCAATCGGGAGTGTGAAATAGCTAAAATGCAAGAACGTGATTGTGAAATAGACTAATCCAAAACCTGTTGTGCACTTTAATACTAGGAATAATCGCCTGTACTCAGAAGGATGTGGAGTACTTTAAGTGTGGCCTATCTCTTGTAATGCAATTCATGTTCTCTGTTTTTTTTCCTTCGTTAGTTTTGGCTTTCAGTGTTGGGGATACTAAACAGGTGATTCTTTGCGATGTGGAAAAAGCAGAAATTCTGCACTCTTTCCCTGTGGAGCAGCCAGTGTCGTGTATGCACTGGATGGATGTTTCGGAGGACAACAGGTGTGTTTCCATAATTGTCACAGGTGAAAAAAAAAATCTGAATTAGAAGAAATGGTCACTATGCGAATTTGCCTAGTCCACACCATTATTTTTTACATCAGATGCGGGCTAGACAGTGCTCACATTAAAAGATTCCTTCATGCTATTAGGCTGGTGTGCAGGTTACCCAGCTGCTTTCTTGCATTGGTAGTGACAAGTAATGTAACTTTTGTGAACATGGAGGTGGAGGTGACCCATGAACGGCCAAAAAGTTTAAATTGAAATGTACGAGCACCTGCTTTGTGGATATGGTAGAATAGCAGATCGCTTTTTATTGCAGTGTTTTCTCATCGTTTTATAATGAAGATGAATCAGATCTTTTCCTGCCAAAGTTACCAGCTCTTCCAGAGAGGTAAGGATCTCTATTTTCTGAGTGCTTTATTCTGATACTTTTAATCAGTTTCTGTATTTGACCTATGTGTTAAATGTCACTTTTTAAATTGCCGTATCAACTGAAGTTATTTAATATCACCTTTGCAACATTATTAAAAGTTAGGTTATGCCACAAATGTTGTGTTTTCAAAACATTAGTGCATAATTTCAGTAATTGTTAATCTTGATAAGTGCTATATAAGCACTATAAAAGCGTAAGGAATTTTTATTAATTAATTGATTTTCTAATATTTTTATTTACAGCTACAGCACCACGTCAAAAATATTCAGGTAGTTTCGCAAACACTTTCTTTAGATTTTCATACATAAATATTATTGCACAATTAACTAATTTATTGTCTGGCTTCCAGCGAAGACAAATCTGATGAGATTATGAATCTTCTGGGTGAAGTAAGGTGAGTTTTTAAAAGTTTTTATAGCTATGCATAAGCAGTAGGGTGCTTAAAAAACATCATTGAAATTGTTCATGTGAACCATAAAAATACGAACCTCTGTTGGAACCAGTAGAATTTGTTGATTTTTTTTTTTCCATGACACTTATTATAGTATGCTCTCATTAAATACAGAGGAACACGTAAAGGTTTATTCCACGCTGAAAAGAAACAACGTTTCGGCTGTGGAGCCTTCTCCGGGTGTTCTTCTGTTCTACTTTCGGGTGTTCTTCACACCTGAAGAAGACTCCACAGCCGAAACGTTGTTTTTTTTCAGTGTTGTGATTCTATCCTTCTCTTCTCAGCAGGAATAAACCTTTACTTGGTCCTTTGCAGCCTGCGCATGCTGACGCAGCTGCCTACTTGAGCTACCTCATTAAATGCGGTTGTGAACCTTTTCCGTTGTGATGTGGAGAACATTTGTTCTGTGACCAGCTGCTGTACGTTGCTGACCTGGGACAATACGGCTGCTGAGGTCACGACTGTTTTAGTTGAAGATCTGATCATCTGTGGAGCGAATCACTAGGCTGTATCTGCTGTTTACACACAGATGCTGGAAGATGAACACCTGGCTGCTCAGTTATTTGTAACTCTGATGCAGATGTGCATGAGGTCTCTTGCGGTTAAAGCTCTGCGCGTCAGAGCATGGATAAGAACAGCGCTGTTCTGTGTCCCTGTTTCTTTGTCCACAGGCTCAACATACTGGTTCTTGGCGGCGAGTCTGGATACACTGAGCTCTACGCCTACGGCATGTACAAGATCACGACTCTGACTGGGGTAGGACTCCTTTATCTTCTCGACGCACGCTCTGGTGTGGCGCTGAGCACGTCTAGAGCACATGTTCTAACCTCGCAGTGAGCTGTCTTAGTCATTGAACAGAGAAATCTATGGGGGGAGGGGCCCAGTTCAAATGGCCTCCTCTGGTTTGTAGCCTTCCTTCAGTTCCCATGTGACTCTGTTGAAATACCCAGTAGTAAGCAGCAAATGGCCTCAGGGCCAGAACCTTATGATTTTAACTTTATGGATTCTAGAAGTGATCTGTCTACACTATTCTGTTGTATAGTATTCATGTATGGTACAATCAGATGCACTTCAATGCAGCTTTAGGTTTGCTTTTTGTAGGCACCATAGCTTCTGGTTAGCCTGCTGCATACAGTAGATGCGGCTTTGACAGCTTCAGAGTTGTTTACATCTGCTTGTTTCATCTCTTTTCTTGCTCCGCTTCACACTGTACCTCGGTCTGCTCTAGGAGGGGAAAAAAAAACATTTCCTAGAAGATGCAAAGGACGTTTTCTGGACTTCCTCAAAAAGCTGCGATATGCATTTTCTGAAAGTGTTTTATATCTTACATCTTCATCAGGTCCCAGGGACGTGCCGCAGTTTGTGTCTCTCCAGTGACCTGAAGTCCCTGTCACTCATCACGGAAGTAAAGACCACCGACTGTGACCCTGAGATCCATTATATTCAGGTAGAATCAGACGTTTTTGCTTCATGCAAGCTGTGACTTTGATTGTTTTTTATGATTCTTTGATTTGCTGCTTCAGTTGAGCTTCTGCTCCTGACAGTGTGGCTTGTACCAGAAATCTGCTCTTACAGTTTGGGTTGAGGTGTTGAGGTGTCTGAGAGCCACCCTCCAGCGTGTCTCCTTGTGTCTCCCCGCAGTTCGACACCAGCCTGCTGTCCAGCTGTCTGCCTGAGGTCACGCGAATGGCTCGCAAGTTCACGCACATCTCCACGCTGCTGCAGGTGAGGGCGGCGGGCGGCTTGCCGGGCTGTTGTAAGCGCTGCGGGCGAGAGGTGGCGCTCCGCTCTTCTCTTGCCCTGACCTCTGCTGTGGATCTCGTCATGCAGTACCAGAAGCTCTCGCTGACGTGCATGGGCGAGGCCTGGGAAGATATCCTCATGCAGATGGACCTGAGGCTCACAAAGTTTGTCCAGGTCAGGAGCTAATTGTGTTTCGGAAAATAAGTCCTGGTGTGTGTCTGTCCGTGTCTGTCCGTGTCTGTCCGTGTCTGTCCGTGTCTGTCCGTGTCTGTCCGTGTCTGTCCGTGTCTGTCCGTGTCTGTCCGTGTCTCTCCCCTACGATGGACTGGTGTTCCATTTCGGGTGTGTCCTGCCTTGCACTCACTGTTTCCTGGATAGGCCCTGGTCCCCTGCAGCCCTGAGCTGGATTAGCAGTAATTGAAAGTGATGTGATGTTTGTTGTTTTGCATTCTGGTCTTGTTGCTGCACAGCAGAGATTTTCAGTATTGTTCCCACAAGGCTTCTGTGTGCACAGGTTTTCATTCCAGCTCAGCCCTTCCCTTCATAAAGTGCTGTTGATTTAATAATTCTCATAAAGCCTGGACACCCTGGGTGTAAAACATTGCATCACATGTGCTCTTTTTTCCTCTCTGTCGTAGGAGAAGAATACTGACACGTCAGTTCAAGATGAATTCCTTGACCTTCTTTTATGGGGGAAGTCGAGGTGAATAAGATGAATCCTGCTTGCTGTATAAACCTGCTGAGATCCTTATGTATCGCATCTCTGAGCTCAAGTTGCCTTGCGCTCTGTTGGCTTTTAACTCGGAATGCAAGCTGCAGAGATTTTGTTTAAATTCTGTTGATGCAGAGTTTTTTTAAAACCATAAATGTGTCACCCTGTGTGTGTCTGAGCTGGAGCTGGCTGAGGTGAATGTAAAAGTCTTTTGAGGCCTTGGCTAGCATATACAAGGGTGGCCTTACATCCTGTAGCCAGTAGATGGTGCTGAATACAGCTGGTTCATTTCTCCATACCTCAGTTGTCCTCACCGATTGGAAAGTAGGTAGTTGAGAATGTATTGATAAATCCAGAAATTGTGTGCGCACTGTGGAGCATTGCTAAAGCAAATATCTGTATTTGATTTTCAGCCGTGAGCTCAAGGCACTACTTATGAATCAGTTGACAGTGAAGGTAAGGCTGTTTTTCCATTTGCACGTTGGTCCAAAATACAAAATATGTCCCCTTGTGAAAGTTTTGCAATTTTTGCATTTAAAGGAAAAGTCATAATTTTATTATTACTGTGCAAGCGTTTTGATTTGTCTGCAGTTAAGGAGGTGGGTCTTTGATCCATTTAGGGGAATTCTGAATATTCCCACCTTTATAAATTTTTGTCTGGTATCGTTTAAAACAGAGTTCCTTGTTTGAAACTTAATTTTCAAAATATCTTTCCTGCTTCCTGGCAGCCACGAAATAAGAGACTGTATTCTTCACTGTCCACCTCATTCATTCACTCCTTTATTCATTCATTCTCAGGGCCTGAAAAAACTGGGACAATCTATTGAGTCTTCTTACTCCAACATCCAAAAACTGGTGATAAGTCACCTCCAAAGGTACTGTTTGCATTCTTATGGAAATATAAAATCTATTCTCACTGTGAATCGAAAGCCGCATCATTACACAGTATCGACCTCTACATTTCAGATTGTCTTGGATGAAACGGAAATGCACCTGCTGAAGCCACTGCGTGCAAATTCTGTAAATGAAAAGTGTGTGTGTGTGGAACCGCAGGCTCTTGTCTCGGGCACACAGAGGCTGGAGGGGGAGCACAGATTCGATCCGACACTCACGAGGGCTGAATCTGTGTTTGTCGTCCTCAGTGGCTCCAAGGCTTTGCTTTACCATTTGAGTGAGCTGAAGGGAATGGCTTTGTGGAAACAGAAGTACGACCCTCTTGGCCTCGATGCTTCGGGAATAGAAGGTGGGTTGTCTAAGCTGAAATATCCCTTAGCAACTTGTAAGTACGTTAGCCACTCAGAGTTTAGCCTCCCTCCTAATGGGAGATGACTTTCTGTATCGCCTTCCGAAAAGTAAATCTGGCCAGTTTCTAGTTTGGTTTATGATCTTTGGCAAAAATGTCACTTGTGTAACTTAGCCCAGCTGCAGTCAGGATCCAGCAAATTGCGCAGATCCTAAAGCCCGGATAACCGGCTGATCTCAAGAGGACAGCAGGGTGTACTGCCAGTAGACTCCAATTGCAGACGAGATGCGTATTAAAGAGGGTAGACAATTTAAAAAGCAATATAAATATGTGGGTCGGTGTGGAGGTCGCACACTTCCAGTTCTCCAGTGTATGAGAAATATGAAGAAGCTGTCGTGCGTGTACTGTTTCACTGGGACAGAATAACATCCAGGCAGGACTTCTGGGATTCATACTAGTGCAGAGCAGTCCAGTCACCCACAACTCTCTCTTAATGTTAAGGCATTGAATGTCCTTCTTAATAACCCAATAATGGGGGACAGGGATCTGCTTCTGAATGCTGCTGTTTGATTTGTGTCCTGCAGATGCCATCACAGCTGTGGGCTCCTTCACGCTCAAGGCCAACGAGCTCTTACAGTGAGTGGGTCCCTCCAGCCTGTGCCATGTGCCGGTATGACTGTGGCTGGGCTGGAACGCTGCACAGTCAAATCTTTCTTAGCGCTCGACTGCGCTGCTTTGAGCTGGGCTTTCTTTAACCGTTTCATGATTGTCCTTGTAATGAGCACAAGTGGCTGCAAATCTTAGAAACTTTCATCAAGATTGGCAAACTCTTTCAGAGCCCGAAATAATGCCCTGTCATAGTTCACACAGAAAGTCTCGTATTGGAATTAGATTTTTTCAACCAGCAACTCTAACCTAGTGCTAGGCGTACTGTGTATATGTAATTACATTGTATTTATTTTTTTCTACTTTTTATTTCAGAGTCATAGACAAAAGCATGAAAAATTTCAAGGCATTCTTTCGATGGCTGTATGGAGGTAAGGGCGACTGACATCTTCTTTCAAGCACAGTATAAAATAAATGTAAATGAAGAATTTCCTAGTAGACAACAAAATGAAGCATGTTGCTTTCACCTCACTGTGTTCATAGTTGCAAATAGCCGTCATTCAGGTGAATCTGATCTGTTTTAAATAGTTTTGGTTGTCCGTTGACCTCCTGTAGGAGATTTACAGTATTGTGGGATAACTTTTACAGTCCTGTGCTTCTGTCCAAACACTTGCATTCGCTTGTGCTTCATGTTAAATGGATGATGATGGTGATGGTGAAGTGTTGTCATCCTGTAGTACAAGATGTCTTGTGCATCCTGTTTGTTAAGAAAGTAGTAATAGTTTTTTTTAATCAGATAAAACCCTTAAATAAGCACTCAGCCATTAGCTGAGAAACAAATGAGTCAATCCCACTTTCCAAGGCAGGTCTACCCATGCTCATTCTTTTGGGTTGTTTTTCTAAAAATATTTAAAAACGGAGGAAGGGCTACAAAGGAGAGGAGCCTGTTCGTCCTGTCTGATCCCAGGATCTCATCAGGAGCTTCCTGGCCTTCCCTCAAACCCTGGAGTAAAGGAAATGGAAGCAGCCGGGAAAGTGGCAGGAAGACTCCGGTGGATTTCTAGTCCACCGCCTTGACCGCTCAGCCATGACTGCGTTTCCCTTTGGTTCTTCGTAACCCTCAGCTCTTCTTGGTTTCAGCCATGCTGAGAATGTCCGAAGATCACGTCCTTCCCGAGCTCAGCAAGGTCAGTGAGCAAGGCCCCAGCTGGGAGTATCTCGCTTTCAAACACACCCTGCTTCTTATAGATCTCTACGTTATTAAAATTAATCATTTTGTTTTTGTTTGGTGGGGGATAAGAAGGATTTCCATTTTTCTTTGCATGTAAGTAATCTGTGTGGGTTTTAATTGTTGTTTTTTTGTTGTTTTTAGATGACGCAGAAAGATATAGCCTTTGTTGCAGATTTCCTCTCCGAGAACTTTAGTGAGGTAAGACTGCACTGATCTGTGTCACTAGTATCAGTAAAAATCGAGTTTGTTTTTTTGGTGTGGTAAAAAACTCAGAAATCTTCTTTCTGTTTTTCAGCAACCAGAACTGTACGATAGGAAGGGGAAATATTTTAATGTGGAAAGAGTTGGCCAGGTAAAGAAAATTATAATCATTCTGTGTACTTGCAGTCTTCGGTAAAAATACAGTGTACTACATTTAAAAAGGCAGTCGCCCGTGGTGTCTGTCGGACCGGTCTGTGCTGCTTGCCTGTTCAGGAAGTTGGGTATCTGTACTGTACTGAGGCCCAGTGGGGTTTTTCCAGCTTGGAAGACAAGTCCAGAAAGGGCTTCCAGGTGACACTCCAGACCACAAGAAAGGTTAAAAACAAGTCATGGCCATTAGGTCCAGCCAGCCCGTTTCGCAGTTAGTAGCTAGGACTGTGACCGCTGGGGGGAGGGAGGCACAGCGCCTCCTGCAGGCTGGCAGTGGCCGTGAAGAGAAACGCGCTGCTCCTCTGCCCAGTGTCAGGGAAGACTCTGGTGGTCTGTCGGAGGGTGGACGGGCAACACTGCTCATTCTCATCCGGTGAGAGCCTGCGGTTCCGATGTGAGTGGCTCTAAAATGAAAGGGGCCCAGAGCAGCCTGGAATCTGCATTTGCTGTTGGGTCGGTATTTTTTAGTCGTTGTCACTTGCAAAAAAAAAAAAGAAAAGATGTTTGAATGCACAGAGACAGATCTGTAAAGACAATCCAGAATGAGTAACTAGTGCAGTCACAAACCTACACAAAACCTTTCTGTAAGTCTGTCAGAAATTTAAACTTGTAAACCTCGTGTGTAAGGCATATCTTTGTTGGCAGAAATCTCTTGCAGAAATGCTTCTCTGACTTTATTTTACCTGTTGTCCTGCAACACGTGTTGTGCCTAGGTTGTTAATTAGATCTGTGTGTTTAACTGTGTTGTAGTACTTGAAGGATGAAGATGAAGACTTGGTGTCTCCTCCTAACACTGAAGGAAATCAGTGGACCAGCTTCGTGCAGAACAGCACTCATCTTAAAGGCAAGGGAGCCAAGTTTCAGTGATTTAACTGGAGCTCACAACATAAGTACAAGGAAAGAAGAGTAATCGGGGTTATATGTTAACTAAGTGTTTTCCAAATGATGCAGCAGAATGAGTAAGTCAAGCAGACTGTTCCTCCATTTGCAATAGCCCTGGATCAGTTTGTTTCTGCTTTCCAGAGAGTCCACTGCTGTTCCCCTATTACCCTGAGAAATCTCTGCACTTCGTCCGGAGGGAGATGGAAGGGGTCATCGAGCTGTGCCTGCAGAAGCCAGCGGTGAGTGATGGTCATCGCCACGGCCTGCAGTGCTGTGACGCGTCGCTGGGCCCCGACCTCACTGTGTCAGAGGGAGCTGCAGTGTACCCCTCTGGTGAGATCACTGTGTCAGAGGGAGCTGCAGTGTACCCCTCTGGTGACCTCACTGT